ATAAAGAAAATTAAAAAAAAGCCAGTAGAATGCCTAGTGGAGTTTGTGGGACACTGACTCTGTCAGGAACGCAGCAGGACCTTGGACAAATCATTTCTTCTGTCTGGGCCTCAGTTTCCCCACAAATGCAATGGCCAATAGAACCCCACTCGGCCTGCTTCTGCTGCAGAGTGAAGTACCATGCTGACTGTAGTGGCTGCTGAGGTCCTGGGCCTGGCCTATGCACCATGAACTTCCAAACAGCCCACACTACCGAGAGCCTAGAGGCCACCAAGGCAATACTGAGCTCTCTACAAACCGGCTCAGTGTGTCATCATGACTCCAGAGGGTTTCAGAAGAATATTCCAGACTCCCCCCACCCACCACTGCTTACCAGAGACCCAAAGGCTTGAGTTATATCTCAGACCCAAGGTCAAGGTGAAAGTCTAACACAGCCCCAAACACAGGCAGGTCAGGGAAATGATGAGTTTACACACTGAAATCAGAAGCCAAGTGAGTCTGACAAGACTTAGGCAAGGACTGTCTGTAGCATGGGCAGAAGAGGAGAGCACAGGACCAAGATAGAGTGGTGAGTCTCTGGCTCTCCCAGGTCCTCCCTATCAAGGGGACAGCCTCTGGGCTCCATAATCCTGATCCTGTAGTTCGATCCTGATGGCAAACCTCTTCTTCCTCCTCACAGGTTGTGGCTTCCGACCGTGGCACTCCTCCACGGAAGAAAGACCACATCTTACAGGTGACCATTCTGGATGTCAATGACAACCCTCCAGTGATTGAGAGCCCCTTTGGATACAACGTCAGTGTGAATGAGGTAAAGACTCCAGATCGCCAGCAGCGGACCACCCAGGGTGGACCATCGTCAGAAGCTGACCATGAGAGAGCCATTCAAATGTCTTGTTGGCCCTCAGTCGTCAGAATAGAGATCCTGAATAGATACAGCCCTAGTACCCAGCCTGGTAGTATATTTTTGTGGTTAAAAACAGAGACCCTGGGACAGCTTCTTTTTAAAACAAATGTATTGGGTACCTGGCACTAAGGCTGGACAACTTCACGAAATCTTTTTCCAAGCCTTGCCTGGGCATAGCATCAGGGGCTGCTTATGAAGGAAGGTGTTTTAGGCACCTCTCCCACGTCCTCCCTATCAAGGGGACTGCTCTGGGCTCTATTACCCTGATCCCATAGTTTGATCCCCACAATAGCTTCTGATTGGCTGTGTGGGTATGCATGTATCCTTCTCCTGCAGTTTTCTGAGTGTGAGCACCCAATCTGAGCTCACAGGTTTGGATCAGAATCAAGGGACTCACACAGGACATGCTGTGTAGGAGGTATCCAAAACGTGTTGTCTACCAAAATCCTGATCCTCCTCATTGGTGCCCCAGGGGACACAAAGCAGAGCTTCCAGAGGCCCGGATGAAACCTCCAGGCACCAGGAGCAGAGCTAGGCTTTTCCCTGACTGTGGGCCTGTGATAACCACTTCCTGCTCTCCTGCCAGAATGTGGGTGGAGGAACCTCAGTGGTCCAGGTGAGAGCCACCGACCGTGACATCGGGATCAACAGTGTCCTGTCCTACTACATCACCGAGGGCAACGAGGACATGACCTTCCGTATGGACCGTATCAGCGGTGAGATTGCTACACGGCCTGCTCCCCCCGACCGTGAGCGGCAGAACTTCTACCATCTGGTGGTCACCGTAGAAGATGAGGGCACCCCCACATTGTCGGTGAGCAATGGAGGTGGATGGGACAGCTCTGCCCCCTGTGTGTGGGAAGCCAGTGAAGGGGCTGAAGCTTCTCATAGCCCTCAAACCGTTGATACTTCCTAGGTTGTATGTCTTAAGTTCACAGGCCAGGGATCTCACAGGGCAGGTATGTGCCAAGCCGGGGTGCTGGTTCTCTCTAGTCTGTACTGTTCTGAGTCTCTGAGCATCTTCCGGTCTCTTTCATTGATGCTATCAGATGAGCCTAACACCAGGCCTTGGTAAGGGGTACATAAATTGGGACGTATGACCAAACTGTGCACTGCAGGACCACACAGGCAATGCAGCCCTCTGACCCTCTCCCTGCACCATGTTGACATGATACTGTCACACACTGGGGGTAGGAGAGGCTGATGGCTGTGGTTATGCATGTATCCTATGTATGCTTGGTGAACACGGCCACAGCCCATGGTTGTGTGATGCCCATGGTTATGTGAGCTGGGGAAAGAGGCGTGGCTTGCAGACTGGGTCGAAACTGCGCAAGCGAAGAGGAGTGTTCTATGACTTGAAATCTTGCAAGCTGGCCAATCAGGACCTGCCAGAGTCTCACCTTTGTTGCCTGTAAAAGGTAGACAAGATGGTATTTGGGGAACTGAGTTAGCTCAGGTTGGCACAAGGGCTTGGTAAACAGGGAAGACGGGGAGTGTCACATCTGTATCTATCACAACATTCAACAGTGAGGCAGATGAAACCCAGCATGATGGGAAGCAAGGCTTTGATCTGCAAGCTGCTGATGTAGACTTAGCTCCGCCAGCCAGTTATGGTCTCGCCTGGGGCTCCTGCCCTGTACACGCTACTGTCATGTCAGCTGAGCAGGCTACACTTCTAGCAGTTGGCTGGCATCCCTCGAAGGTGATAAGGACGGCTCCTCCAACTAGCAAGCCTATGCCTGCTCACAAGAGAGAGCACGAGAGACACACACGAGGCCCGGTGGTAGCCAGGCTTGGGCTGGCACAGGGTCCCTTCTGTAGCTTTCTCTAGGCCAAAGCAAGTCATGAGCCAATCTGGATAGGGTATGCCCTCAATGAAGGTAAAGACTGGATACATTTCTCATAGTTGTTCTCTGCCCCCAAGAGATGTGTTTTAAGGATCAGCTGTATCAGTGGCCCCGCAGGAGGAGCAGGTCCAGGCTGGCATTTATCTGGAGTAATACTGACAAAGGGGTAGGAACTGGGCCTTCAGTCCCAGGAACACACATCACATTTCGAAACGGGAAACAAGACCCACACCGCCCTGCCCCCTCACGAGCACCCTCATTCCCAGGGCAGCTCCGTGTCTTTGCTAGCTCAGCCAGCGGGCTAATTAGGACACGGGTAAAGGTAACTGAATGGAGGTAGGGAAGCAATTGGATTTTTTGTGATGACATGGAAGGGTGAAGTTTAATCATCTTCAGTGAGACGCTTGGCTCCATGTAGCAGGTCTTCAGCTAGAGTCGATAATTACAAAGATTGACTCTGTGCTCATAACAGTTGCTGTTCCTGGGACTTCTTAGTTGGAAAAAAAAAAAAAAGCTGACACTAAGTCGAAGAAAAACAGAAGGAAAAAAAAAGTGGGAAAATCCATTCTTCGGAGTGTCCTTGTTTCTTAGCATAGAACAAAGAGCTCTGTTCTTTTCTTTTTGAGATGGTTTCCTGTAAGCTAGGCTGTTCTAAGCTCACTCTGTAGCTGAGAATGACTTTGAATGTCTGACTCTCCTGCCTCCACTTCCAAGAGGTTATAAGTCTGTATCACCATGCCTGGTTTACAAGTCCTGGGGATTGAACCCAGGACTTCTGAGTATAGAGATGCTATGGGGGAAGTCTACGAACTGAGCCATAGCCCCAGCTCTATGACTTGAAATCACTAGTGTCCCACAGTGAAGAACTGGGTTGACCTGGAGATGAAGGCACTGGCCCCGTCTCTGCTGGTCAGTCCTGTGGAATAGCCAAATACATCCATGTTAGGGTCTGAGCATCCGCCCAGACAGAGGCGAGAGGTGGGTCTGTGGGCTGCACCTTAGCTCTAGGCAATGTTCAGCCTCCAACTGTACATCCTCCTTAGCTGCTTTATCTGAGAGAGCTTTTAGTCACCGGCAGCAAGACCATACCGGAGGCTAGGAAACCATAGACAGACAGTCCCAGGCCTGCAGGGAAAAGGCATAGGATAAAATTGATATTCTGTGCATGAAGGGACCCAGAGCTCGAAGCTCAGAGCCAGGGACCAGGAAGGATTTCTAGGCTGTATCATTAGTAAATAATTTACTAAAAAAATTCATTATTTATTTATTTATTTACTAAGTATTCTGTGGGTGGAGGGGGTGTGTGTACAGGCACACGTGCGTGTGTGTACAGTCACATGTGCACACTGCCACAGGATGCTTCTGAAGATCACAGGACAATTTACCAACGCTGGTTCTTTCCTTCCACCACGTGGAAGGTTGAACTCAGATCATCAGACTTGTTTACAAGTGTCTCTACCGACTGAGTCATCTCACCAGCCCACGGGGGTTATTTGTAGCACAGGGCTTAGGAGTCAGCGGCCAAGACGTTCCCAGAATCCCAGAGGAACCCCTGTGTCCAAGCCCCTCCCCTTCTTTCTTCTCTGGGTGACACCCCCTCCCCCCCAAAGCCGGACATTCCTGTCCACTGCCGTTAGCCTGTATTATCCAGGCCAGGGACAGCTGGGCTGCAAGGACCAGCTGGGCCAGCCTCAGACCTGCCACACAATGACCTGCCACCCGGCCAGAGGAAACCATTGTATTGCTTGCGACCTCTGTTAGCTCCATGCCACAGGCAGGAAGGACAGAACTATGGCAAGGCCCAAATGGTCATCAACGGGCCCTGCAAGGAGGAAGGGCTGGGTCCAGGGAGGAAGGACGAAAGGCAATGAAGAGGTCAGGGGCCAAGCCCTGGCCCTGAGGCACCTTGGCAGGAGATTTAGGAGAGAGAGTAGCCTCTTTGACATATGAATGACAGCTAGTAGCAGGAAGTATAGTCCCAGATAACCCTGACTTCCCTGGTTGCAGGAGAGAAAATCTGTATGCTCCCAGTTCCCAGGCCCTGGCAGTGCCTCTAAGGTGGGCTGTGAGCTAGGAATGCCGCCCTAGCAGTTCACCTTCTCTAAAGTGAGCGTCTGCAGCCAGGACTCTGGCTTCCCAGGCTCTGGCTCTGACCTCTCCCCACCTGCCTACCCTAACCATTTCCGTGTGTTCCTATCAGGCAGGCCAACCTGTCCCAGACCAGCAAGAGTAACCCAGTCACTGGCCTGTTGTATTTACTTGTGTTTTTAATCAAATATGCTACAGGAGAACAGGATGGGCAGTCGTTCAAGAAGCATCTGCAACTCAGCTTGCTTGTTGGGAGACACTCTGCCACTTCCCAGATGCTGACACACAGCTGGCTGAGCTTCTAGGGTTCGGTGGTCAGAGGAACGGGCTCTGTTCCATTACCTTTCCCCTGGTGGAAACAGGTAGAGTACAGGGACTCCTGTGTCTACCAGAAAACCCCAGGCAGGAAGGGGGTGACAAGAACTGGTGTAGAAGGAGCCCACATACTAGCACAGGTTCTCTGGGCCACGAGAAGGCCCGAGAAGACAGAGCATAAGTAAGAATATATTCCAGGTATAGTGTGAACTGCAATAGAAAACTTGTGGGGTCAAATTTATCTCTCAGCAGCCCAGTGTATCCAAGTTGAAGGCGATAGCAGGTTATGGACAAGAAGGCTGTTTGGTTCAATGGAGGGAAAGGGGCTAGGCCTGAGAGGTGAGAGAGTCAACATTAGTCCCACCAGCCACAAAACATGAGCCTTTCAGAACCACCATTTTCTCCTGCATTAAATGGAGATGGTAAAGACTCTTGATTGGGGGTGGGGTTGGCTCAGTAGACACACTGCTTGCCACACACGCATGAGGACCTGAGTTCAGATCCCCAGCATCCACAGTGTAGTCGATAACCCCAGCAGTTGGGGTCAGGGTGGGGCAGAGACAGGCAGATCCTCAGAGCTTGCTGCTCAGCCTCGTGCTGAGCTCCAGACTCGCTGCAGGGTCTGCCAAAAATTAAGTTGAGCACTCACGAGACAGCTCAGCAGCAGTGAGCTCTTGCTCTACCTCCAGAGGATCCATGTGGACTCCATTCCCAAGTGATTCAGTGGCCCCCCTGGCCTCCACAGGTGCCAGGCATACACGTGACACTCACAGAGACATACAGGCAAAAACAAACAAACAAAAAAACAACAAAAACATGCACATAAAATTTTAAAATAAATGCTAAAAAATGCACAATGGCAGAGCTGGAAAGATAGCTCAAATAGTTACTAGGTGTCTTTTAATGTGTTGCTTTTGTAGAAGACCCGGGTTTGAGTCCCAGCCCTCACATTGTAGCTCATAACCACCTATAACTCCAGTTCCAAGCATTCCAACAGGCATGCGCATGGCACCTATGCATGCATTCAGGCAAAACATAAAGTAAATAAATCTTTAAAAATAATACATTTTAAAGGAATGGAGGAAGACACCCACTGGTGATTGCTGGCTTCCATATGCACACACCAAAACATATACACATGCATGCTTCATACATATACGCACAGAAAGACTTTCAAGGCTGACATGGAGAAGGATGTCAAAGAAACAAAAGCACACTATGGAAATCTTTGGGGAAGCATATTTTAACAACAAAACAAGATTTAAGATGTGGCAGCCATACTGCCATTTCCTCTTCCCCAGTCCAAGGCAGACATTACTAATCAATCTCCGCACTTTCTTATCAGCTGTATCCTTATCAGAATTCTTCTCACCATATTTTCCAGGAAGCCACACCCAACAGATCAGACCAGTGAAACCTAGTGAAATGTTCATCTCTTGGCAATAATGCCATTATGGAGATCCTCGCAGGCCCAGACAAAGCTAGATCCCCAGAGTGGAATCCTGAGGTCCTGGTTCAACCCATTTACCCAAGGATTCTGTCAACTATCAGCTCCCCAGGCTGGCGTTAGTCCTCATCCTCCCAGGACTCGCATCCATTGTGGGGGAAGGAAAGTGCCAGGGCAAAGCAGCAAGCATACAGGGCATGAGCCAGATGGCCCGTATTCTCTGTGGTTTGGGACTGGTACTCAGACTGGCTGTCTGTTTCAAGAGACTTTCGCACCCCCCATCCTGCTTGGCAACCCCCCCTCCTCCAGTTCCTCTTTTGCCTATTTTAGTTCCCTGGGAAATTTTTAGTTTAGCTCCCACTGTGGTAGGTTCAGCGCCGGGGCGCTGTGCCAGCTCACATGCAGGAAAGCCTTTTCCAGGAGGTAGCATCCTAACAGTGCCCAGGTTAGGAGAGACAAAGGGCCCTCAGCAGCCCTTAGCCTAGCTGCATCCTCCAAGTCCTTCCTCCAGGGAGCAGTTCTTGGAGGAGCTAGCCCCTTCCCAGGCTCTCTGCCTCTTCCCAGCAGAAGTAGGGTAACCCCAGGGCTGCTCTTTTAAGAAGTTGGTCTAAGGCACACTTCAGTACTCCAGCAGGGCCAGCTTGGTCCACAACAGCTACCAGTGGCCCTTTGGTTTGTCAAGAAGCCCCTGCTGTATCAGAATCCTTTCCTACTGGGTCCTTCTATCTCAGTCCCGGGGGCTGGGGGGAGCTTCATCAGAGATAGGCAGAGACCCTCTAGGGATAGATCAAGTACCCCCTCCAAATTTCTGATGGATTTCCTAAGGATGAATTACCTCCTCAAAATACAGACTTCCCTCTCTAGGCTTCTGCTAGTACCAGGAACCCAATCTGGCCCTTGAGGCTACAGGGCTCCTCCCTCCTCTTCGGAAGCTCAGTTGCCCCACTGTGTCTCACCACCCCCCCCTCTCATGCCCCAAGGGCTAGCACCTCAGGGCATCTCCATTTTCTACCCCAAGACTCTGCTGCTGTCTCCACAGCAGCAGCAAGGTGGTAGCACCCAAGTTCATGGATGTAGACAGAGCCCGGACCACACAAAACTTCACCAAAAACAGGAAACCACCAAGCTGACATGCCTTTGCTTGTAGGGTCCCGAGAAGAAGAGACTAGAGCCCTACAGGAGGAAGCTGGGCAGGAAGTGAGTGGCTTTCTGCTGGGGGCTCCCTCTCCTCTCCACAGAGCTGCAGCCATGCTGGGGTCCCCACAGTCAAATTCTTAGAAGTCATCTGGGTGCTGAAGTCTGAAGCTTAGGGCTGGAGACAGGTCAGGCTCCCCCCAGGGGACAGGCTACACGCATCATACAGCTGCTCTGTGGGTTTTATTCTTTGACAGGCCCCACTGCCCTGCCACAAAACAGCTGACACTTTGCCGGCCCATTATCCCCAAAGTCAAAAGAACAACACATTCTGTCTGTAGTAACTACATAGAGTCTTGACAATGGCTGGAACAGAAGAAGGGTTTTGAAGTCCTGGCCACCCCAACACTCTTATGATGATGACACAAAGCCTCTGGGGTCGCCAAGCCCCAGGCATACCTGGCATCCCACAGGGGCCTATGCTTTTGGACCTTACCAGACAACTTGTCTAGGTTCCCAGCAAGTAGCTTATTGCTGTGTTCCAGCCTGAAACTCTTCTCCCCTGGCCCCATCTGTCCTCAGGGAATGAATGGGGGTCTCCCTGTCTGCAGGCCCAGAGCATGAGCTTTCCTACCCAGGACCCATTCAGCCCAGCCAGTAGACACTACAGAAAGACAAATGGTACCATTGGGCTGCTGCTCTCCCAGTACTGGGGCTACTGTCCCTCTGGAGACTGGAGGGTGACTTGCCCAGCCGTATCCCTCCTCACTCTCAGATAACAGCTGCCCCATTCCTACCTCAAAGGAACTACCCTTTCTCTTCATGCTTTAAAATCCTTTCTGAAGACTCCCCTTGTGTGCCCAGGTCATGCCAGACCCTAGAGATACAGCCAAGAGTAGCATCGGAGCAGGGACAAGCTCTTCTGTATGCCTGAAGGTTACCCTGAGGTGAGGCTCGGAAGAACAGTGGTCAGAAGCTGAGTGATCCCTAGGCCTTTAGTGCAACCCCCACCCTCACCCCCATACCAGGCCCTGCACCCCCAGGGCCTTGCAGCCAGTACCTCCAATCCATTTGTAGCTGTTCCCAGCCATTGCCCATATTCTTTTTAATAGCATCTCCTTCACACTTAGAAGGGGCCCAGCATCACTAGGACACCATGGAGGTCAGTCACCTTTGCCGTTGCTCCACACTGAACAGCGGTAGTGGTGGATGACGAGGACAGGAAGGAGTTGCGTCTCCCTCATCGTCCCCATCACACCCTTGCCACCCTCCGTGTCCGCTGGTCCAGGCCTCACATTGCTCAAGACACTAATGAGTTCACCGTGGTTCCTGAACCTAACATGTACTTCCTGTTTCGGAGCCTCTGGCCACTGAGCCCTGTGGACAGCCATATAGGCAATGAGAGCCCAGAGTCACTAAACTGTTGACAGACCCTCAGGTTGCTGGTGGAAGGCTGCTAAGGTAGCTCCTCTAGTGGGACATAGGCCGGCTAAGCTCCAGAATCCAGAGGATAGAGTCAGGCTAACAGAGAAGCATCCTCAGGCAAACAAGCATACCAGTCACACCCTCACAGTGTGCAGGAGTCTCTCACATCTCGTGTCTCTCGCTTGGGAGGGTGGCAGGGTGCCTACCTCATCCCATCCGGGCTGCTGGTTTCCATGAAGAAAGGCTGTTGCCAAGCTGGACGCTTGTAGGATGCAGGTCTGTGGCTGGCGGAAGTCAAGTCTCTAGGGAGAATTCGACATCCCAAGACCTTGAGAACAGCAATGAGCCATCCAGCATCTTCTCCCTGCCCCTAAGTAGCATCTGAAAGTCATAGGGGAGGGTCCATGCATCTTGTAAAAGCAGAGTCTAGGCTCAGAGCAGGAGCAAGGAAGCTGGAGTCGGTGCCTAAAGGTCTGTTAAAAGGCCAGCCATAGATCAAGTGCATCCGTCCCTGAGCCAGGGACCATGGTCCATGGTGCCCCAGCCAGTTTAGATGGCGTCAGAGTTAGGGGAGTCGGGGACTGGATCTGTAAAAGAAAACATAAAGAAGTGAATGGGGAGGGGGCAGTCTGTGTCTCCTTGTTCAACTCTGCCCGTGTAGATTCCCCAGGAATGGGGGAGGGGGGCCACAGAGCCTAGGTCCTAAGGTTTATCAGTCAGAGTGCTGTAAAACCAGGTAACACTCACCCAAGGATGGGAAAAAGACATCCCCAGGGCCTGGAGGAGACAGAGGTGTGCTGGGGTTAGAGAGCAGGTGCCGCCCTGACTCAGAAGGTTGCCGCTGGGCCACATAGGACAGTGGAGGCCTGGTCTTGGCCTCAGGCATCCCCTGGAAGGGTGGAGTTGTCTCATAGCCTGGGTTTTCGATTCCTTGGGTGTTGCTGCTAGAGAAACAGAATTGGGGGGTGATCAGTGCCACCTGGAGCCCAGTGCCACGGGGAGCACTCCGTCCTCCCTGCCTACCCCCACCCCTTTCTTTATTGATCCCTGTCTGGGACAAGGACGACTTGTGAAAGCTCTCCAGCACTGAGGTCCTAGTGGGATCATGGGTAGAACTTTCTTTGACCTATCTGAGAAGCTGTCTCCTCTGAACACATTGTAGGACAGGGAATTTCTGAGCCCATCTAAGCCAGCCCATGGCCAAGCACAGATAACATTGTTCTTTCTACCTGCCATCTCTGATGCAACCTCACCCCCACCCCACCCCTGCCCAGAGTAGCTGTTGGCTTGCTCCTTCATGTTCAACTGGACAGCTTCCTCTTGGGGTACCTGGCAGAGCCAAGCCTCAACCATGAATAGGGCTGGGCGTGGGCCATGAACTTCATTTACATGTTGTAGAATCTGGTCCAGCCTGCATCTTCCACTCTTCCCCATCCTAAGCCATGTTGATTACTGAGACCCAGAAGTACCCACTAAAGCACGTCCAATAACAATCAGGGCACGGCAGGGGTGATGGTGTACACGGAGCAGCCCACCAGCCCAGATGTGCCAGACGCAGCTCCAACCAGCTGTGTCTTGTGCTGGGCAGGGGCCTCCTATCACACACAAACATCCCTTCCCTGACATCTGGTCCCAGGAAGCTTCTCAAAGTCACTGTGGGACTCACCTGTCCATCCTCACCAACTCCTGGGCACCTACAGATAGACAGAAAACTGGTCACAGGAAGGAAACTTTATGTAGGTTGCACCCCCAGGACCCTGTACTGTTCCCTGAGGGGGACTGAGTTCTGTGTGTCTGTTCAGCAGGTGGACCCCAGGAAGAGCCACCTTTGTGCACTCGTGAAATGTGTCTTCAGTCAGACTATGAGAATCTAAGTTTCAAATGAAAACCAGGCCCTTGCATGTGCTGACTCTGGCTTCTGTCAGGAAGTTGCCTCTCTGGTCTTTAGCCACAACTCGTTGGGTAGATAATTCAAGGTCAGGTCTTAGAATTAGAAGGTTCTTTCTTCCCTCAGACTCCCTATCGCTCCTCAGCCTCTCTACCCACCTTCTCTCCCACAGTTCATTATCACCTCAGTTCATGCTTAGGGTCCCCCTAAAACCAGCCACCATCCAGATGCAGCCAGACACCAACTTCCCTCTTTCTTGCAGGTCCCCACACCCTCCCCCAGATCCTTTTTGCAGGAGGAGGTTTACATGGGGAAATGGTCGGGGAGGGGGGATTGGGAGGAGGGGGGTCGGGGCATCTGCAAGATGAACACAGGGAAGTTGCATAGAGTTCCTGAAATCTAGTTCACTTCTGCTGACTCGGTGGCTCTGCGTCAGGCTGTGTGGGCCAAGCCTCACCACTTGGCTCTGGGGTAAAGACAGTGATCTCCACATCTGGGGACACCGAGCTGCCTTCTCTCTTCTTCTGTCCTGAGCATACTCATTCGTAGGCAACGCAGTGCTCAGCCCAGGCTGAAAGCCCTGAGTTAGTGTGCCATGCACCAGGAGCTAACCTGCTGTGGGCCTGCTGCAGGGGAGCGACATACTGAGACCTGCTGGCTGCTTTCAGTTGCTACTCTGGGGTCCAGGTAGATCAGTGACTCCCCAAGTGTGTCTACTCATCCTTGGGCACTTCATCTTTCTAAGCACTAACAGCTTCTGACATCTTAGGTTTCTGTTGCGGAGTCTGAAATCACAGGATGGATTGGGGGACTCTCATTTGAAGGCAGAGTAATGACTCAAAAATATTTGCTTTAGAAGATAATTTTGCTCTGTTTTTTTTGTTGGGTTTTGATTGTTTTATTTTTGAGACAGGGTCTTACTATGTAGCTCTGGCTGCCCTGGAACTCACTATGTAGACCAGGCTAGCCTTAAACTTACGGAAATCCTCCTGCCTCTGCCTCCTGAGTGCTGGGATTAAAGGCGTGCACTAAAAGGTAGATTCTTGGTCCTTTCCTGTTACTGTACATGGCACATCCTTACTCTAGGACAGGACAAGGCTTTTTTTTCTACACTCAACATGACATGAGGTGTACCCTATTCCAGCCCATTGTCACCACGGGGCTCTTCTCTAAGTCCAGGTCATGTGTCTACCTGGGACAGAGGGAAGTTTGCAGCCTGTGCTTAAAGTGAGAGTGTATGGAAGAGATGAACTGGGCTCTGTCTATAGAACCCCACATGAATGGCATTCTGGCCTGGTAAAACACACACATACACACACATACACTTGCACACACTCATACACAAATACACTCACACACACATACTCACACATATGCATACGTACACTCATACACACCTACGCACATCATACATGTGCATACAGACTTGCACACACTCACGTACTCACACACAGTCATACACATATACAGTCTCACATATATACACACACTCACACACAAGTACATACACACACTCATACACTCCATAC